TTAAGCTCAAGCTTACAGATGGCCGTTTGAGGTGTCTATCAAATTCAAGCAAAAGAGAAAAAAATGAAGACGTTTTAAGAGAGCTCACGTTCCACTGGCTTAATGGAGCCATTGGACATATAATAAGAGTGCCACCTTTTACTTGTTTCTTATACTTGAATCTCTCTTCCTTCTCTGTGTTATCAACTTCATCAGCATCCTCCATGAGAAATTTTTGAGCATCTGGACGTCGCCTGCTTGGTCTTGCATGTACTAAAGCAATTGTCATCACAGTCTTCCCAAGCCCCATTGCATCTGCTAATATCTACAATTCACAAAGTCAGAAACCTCCCCTACCTTTTCCATTTGCAAGTGCAAAACAATGAGTGCAAGATAGATGCAGAAGTGAAAAGCTGATCACTCCTCTTGCCATTTCCTGAGCATCCGGAAATTGTGGTTGCTTCGCTGGAGCATACATTTACAGATATAGAAGAGGCCGCCCTGCAAAATTTCGGTCAAATGGTTATAGCATCCTGGCGTCCCATATGCTTAACATAAATATGCTTAACATAATTTGAGATTTGATATATCAAACATTATTGGTTATAAAAATCAAGACTATAGACAAAGGAAGGAAAGTAACAAAAATTTTGAAGTTTAGTGGGTCGGGTCGTCTAACAGCCTCAAAGGTCCTCTTTCATAAAATCATCGAGCCTAGGCGCGCCCAAGTGGACCTATGTGAAGGACTCGAGCTCAAAAAGAAAATTGCTTGTCAGGCCTGCCCAATTTGGGTTTTACAGTAGAGTATTGTACCTGCCACCCCCAAGCCAAAGTAATTTTGATATACATAAGTGGGAGGATTGAGGTAGGCATGTGATGTCCACGTTATAGGCAACAACGCCTGCAATGATTTTGCCAAGAATGCCATTTTCAGTAGTATTGGCGGATCATCATTTTGAGCTGCTCCCATGTACAACTATATCGGCTAGTTCTTCAGGTCATTCCCGCTCTCTAAAGGCCTAACACAGCCACGCACGCACGAGAAGCAGCAGAAGAGGAGAGATTACGATTGTAATTACCTTAAAATCTTTGATGACCATGGGTATGCATTCCGTGAGGTAATATCGTCAAACTAAAGTATCGGAGTTGATGAGGCCAGAGCTATGAGGGCCACATGTGGATATCTTAGTCGAAACCTCAAAGCAAGCACTGAAAACTCACATTAGCTATTAGAATTTGGTAACTTTAAGATAACAATATAGTAATATATTACTCACGTTCAAAAGGATTTATTATTTTCGTTGAAAAAGGTAGTAACAACTCGTCGTTTTCACATAATAAATAGACCGGTGGTTTTTCACATAAACAATTAAGAAAATGTATCAAAACCTGTCAAACTTCTCATAGACCATTACACTTACTTCCTCCATATGATCCTCCCACCACAATACCTGCATCATTGATAATTTTTTGGGTTAATACCACGAAAAACCCTAAACTGATACACTTGTGACACATTTACCTCAAACTATTTTTTTTACCATAAAAAAACCCCAAACTGGTACACCTGTGACAATTTTACCTCGAACATACCACAAAAAACCCCAAACTGGTACACCTGTGACAATTTTAACCCGAACTTACCATAAAAAATTCCAAACTGGTACACACGTGACAATTTTACCCCGAACTAATTTTTTAATAATATTTTTTTTTGAATTTTTTTGAATTTTTGAATTTTTTCTTTTTTTTTTCTTTTCTTTTTTTTTCTTCATCTTCAACCTCTGGCCGGCAAGGTTGGCCCCGCCGGCCGTTGGCAAGGCTCGACCTTGCCGGCGTGGGCGAGGGCAGCCCTCGGCCAACGCAGGCGAGGGTCGCCCTCGCCAGATCCGGCGAGGGCAGCCCTCGCCCGATGCTGGCGAGGCTCGACCTCGCCGGCCGCTGGTGAGGCTCGACCTTGCCGACGTGGGCGAGGGCTGCCCTTGCCCGACTCAGGCGAGGGTTGCCCTCGCCCGCCCAGGCGAGGGCTATTCTTGTCCGACGCCGGCGAGGCGACCTCGCCCTACGCGGGCGAGGGTCGCCCTCGCCGGATCCGGCGAGGGTCGCCCTCGCCGGATCCGGCGAGCAGGCCCTCGCGGCATCGGGTGAGGGTTGCCCTCGCGGGATCTGGCGCGAGGGTGACCCGCGCTGCGTCGAGCGAGGGCGCTCTCGCCGGGATCCGGCGAGGACGACCCTCACTCGACTCAGGCGAGGGTTGTCCTCGTCCGACGCCGGCGAGGGTAGCCCTCGCCCGACGCCGGCGAGGGCGGCCCTCGCCAGCGGCCGGCGGGGCCGACATCGCCGGCTTCCGCCTCTGGCCGGTCGCCGGTCCGGCTAACGGCCAGAGGTTGAAGATGAAGAAAAAATTAATAAAAATTCGAAAAAATAAAAAATAATATTAAAAATTTAATTAAGGGTAAAATTGTCATATATGTACCAGTTTGGGATTTTCTGTAGTAAGTTCAGGGTAAAATCGTCACAAGTGTACCAGTTTGGGGTTTTTGTTGGTCAAAAAAATAGTTCGGGGTAAAATTGTCACAGGTGTACCAGTTTGGAGTTTTTTATGGTCAAAAAAATAGTTTGGGGTAAATGTGTCACAAGTGTACCAGTTTAGGGTTTTTCGTGGTATTAACCCTAACTTTTTTCGGCAGGGTAATGTTTAAAACGAATATTTATAATTTTTGGAGAACAGTTTACTAAAGTTAATAGAGTTGCATGATCAATTTGTTAATCCTCAATTCGTTGCTTTTGCAGAACAACACAGTCATTGTGTTTCCTGGAGCTTTTCCCCTTCACCGAAAGCTCCAACAAAACCCAACGCTCTTCTTTTGTAACACTTTTCTTTTATTATTTATTGATTTAATTCTTTTGTAATTTACAAAAGTAAAGTAATTGATAGATTAAAGAGAAAAAATGTTATGTGTTGTTAAATTGGTTCACGTAATTGATAGATTAAGCGTGATGAAGTTTGTTACTATACGTTTTATAACATCCATCTTTTCAGAATTTAATTGGCCTGATTCCAAAAACAAACACCAACTTTAGGTCAAGTGATAATTCTGGCCCCAACTTTTCTTTGTCTCGTAAAAAATCACCAACTGTCACTTAAATCCCAAATTTGGCCCCCTCAACTTAGAACCATTGATTATCCAACTTAGCTATTTCACCTCAATAATAAATCAACTTGGATTGCTAACTGGATTTAAAGCACTATTAATTTGGCATCTTCTCTAAGCCACAATTTGAAGAATAATGGTGAAGCTGTTCGTCGCTCTCCTTCACTTCACCAGCAAGTCAAAAAGATCTCAAGATTGAATCTCTCTGGCCAGACTCACAGTTTTGTCGTAATCTAAAGCTGTAAACCACCACCCATTGAGAAACGCCAAGGACGAGATTCGTCAAGGTCACGACTAGAATATTTTTTTTCAAACCAGGGTGACCTCAAACCAAGAGTCAACGGGGAACCAGATTTGGAATAAAGGTAAAAATTGGTGATTTTTCTATGGGAGAAAAAAAGTTGAGGCCAGAATTATCACTCGACCTAAAGTTTATGTTTTTTTTTTAATTAGCCCGAATTTAATTATATAAATCGTATTATTTAATATATCAATTTTGTAAAATAATTTAACTTACTCAATATTTTTTAGATTAATTTTATAAACCAGTCTTAATATATTGTGTATTCACTAACATAACATATCTCTCCAAAGCTGCCAGGTACAGTTTAATATATCACGGATTTTCCTAAAGGCAAGGCAAAGTCAGCTTTGAAATTGATTGATGTGGTCATGTTTCAAGAACCCAAAATCACCACCCTTCATGCAAGTCTCCTACACCACTCAAAGCTCGAGGACAGTTTCTACTTTTTGAGAACAAAAAGGGAAACACTCCCCTCAGCCTCTGGAGACAGTGATGCAACAAAAGACTGTGTTACCAAACCTTTGCAGTGAAGAGGACAAACGAAAATGAGTTGTTTATTTACTAAAGTTAAACAGAGCTTAATCATCTAATCTGTTGAATCCTCCAATCCTCTTTTGGAGCTTTTTGCAGCATAACATAATAATAAGTTGGTGCTGCTCTGTCCGCCAGCTTTACTGTGTTCCCTAGCAGGCCTCTTTTGTTGGGCTAGAGCTCTTTTAAATAGCCAAATATGAATTTCCCATTAAAATCAAGATAATATCCTTATTCAAAGCAGAAAATTAAGTTGACATATAACGCAGATATTTATTTATTTTAGTATATTTCAAACATGATCTTATCGATACAGCTTAAAAAGGAAAAAGGTAAAAGTCGAAACCTAAGTTAAATTCTGATAGACACATGTCCCTTCCTCTCTCTTCTTTAGCTGAGGATTTAAAAAAGTCATTTAAAGATAAGATCATTTGTAATGAATAGGTGACGCTGCCAGGTGCATTGTATGTGCAACAATACTTTGCCTTTTCCCAAAGGCAAGGCAAACTCGTCCTTGAACTTGAATTGGAGTTGAAATCTTGATGCTGGTTTTATAAGGAAAAAAGAAATTCTTGACACTGGTCATGTCTCAAGAAATCCAAAACCACCCTCTTGTCAAGCTCTCCTCCCACAGTTAATACCCTCGTACCAGTCAAAGCTCGAGGATAGTTTCGACTTTTAAGCATGAAAAAGTGGAAAAAAAAAAAACAGAGAGGAAAGACCCTCCTAGCCCTGTCGAATCAGTGATGCCACAAAGTACTGTGATACCAAACCTTAAAGCAGCGAAGGGGACAAACAAAAATCTGCTTTGGACTGAATTTATCATAGCAGTGTTCCGCCAAAGGGCTGGTTCTTTAGAGGTCATCTCAATCAAATCTTCACCTGCTTTATACGGTTTCCTCCTCCTCCTCCTCCTCCTCAAAATGATTTAGCTCTGCCATGTTTCCCCTCTCGCAGTAAAAATCTGAAGAGGGACAGACAGAGTGAAGAGAGGGACAAAAGTACATGAAAAAACCAATAAGTTTCCCTCTGTATTCTCTTCTTCCTTGGGTTACTGTATAGTTTCTCATCATTGTCACTCTTCATCTTGCTCACTCTTCCCCGTGTAGAAAGAGATCGCCTACCAGCTACTCGGCTACAGGACCCAATGCTCAAATCTTAAAAATAACATATCTTTCTTCTTCTTATTCAACCTTTGTGCATTGTCGTTCATGATCTCTGCCGCATCCACCCATATACATGAAGAATCTCTATCCGGCCCTTGACAATGTCAAATTTGCCGAAATGCCATGTTGTTGAAGTCCAAGAGTGTCACAGTTCAGATGAGGAGCCGAGAGCTTGCTGCTCCAATGAGTCTAGCTCTGAGATTGAAGGTGTCGGTGTTGCATCTGAGAAAGACAGGTCGTCCTCTGCATCAGAGTGCTCTGTGGGGGTGGATCTTGAGGATGGGGCTCCTGAGATCAAGGCGCATTTGGCAAACGTGGAGAGAGATTGCAGGATTTGCCATCTGAGCTTGGATGCAACAAATCAAGAATCTGGGGTGGCCATTGAGTTGGGCTGTTCTTGCAAGGATGACTTGGCTGCTGCTCATAAACTCTGTGCTGAGGCCTGGTTCAAGATTAAGGGTAACAAGTAAGTGCTTTAAAAAAGAGTTGATTTTTTTCCTCTTTTTTCGGGTATTTTCACCTGTTTATGATCTTAAAGTGAAATCCTTTTATTTCTGAATTACGATTCATTATGCCTGTCCCAGAGCCTTCAATGTGGTTGAGTCTGAGTCTTGTGTTGGTCGCTGGTAATACAGGAAATGGTTTATGCATTTGTTTGATTCTGGATAATGGGTTTTTGTGTTATAAGGAGGTTCTCTTTCTGGTTAATATGCTATAAATTTGGTTACCTTTAGGTGCTATGACATCCTATATTTAGGCTTCCGTTCACCACAAAAGCGTGGAAATTCTTGATACCATGCTGGGGACCGACCGACCTAATGTTAGAATGTAAGAACATGAACGTGAATAATAAGATGATGCCAAAACAAGAATGTTGAATCGGAGAAAATGAAAGCATGTTTTGAGCATTTTCCGCAACTTACAAGGAGGACATATAAGAGTGTGTTCTTTGCTTTGCCACACCAATTTAATTGATTTCTCAATTCCTGCACTTGGTGCAGTTTTCAGCTTCCTATGAAGTTTTTTCTTTAACACGTCATTGTTAACTGATATAGTTTCAAACAAATTCCAAGATCTTCTGAAAGTTCCCTGGCAAAATACAACAGACGATCATCTTATAATCCTTGACTTGTGAAAAAGAAACCGTGTTCTTCCCTTAGAGCATAGTTTTACCTAGACCACCACCTAAGTTCAGATAAAAACTGTAATGTGGTGTTGAAACTCCGCATAAATCAAGTTCTAAAGGAACCTTCCATGGTGGGATAACCGATTCAAAAGAATCCTATTTTAAAGAGTAAGTCTTTGTTCTCAAGTCTCAAGTAAGTTGGAACTGGCAGTGCCAAAAGTGTGTATCTTGTGACCATACTCAAACTTTTATCAAATTGACTTTGGAGTAACTGGGTCTTGTGATAGACCTATGGTCATGCTCAGTCAGGTATGAACAATTTAGAATTTCTCAGTCTTAGATGACCTATAATTGCAGACAGGTATCGATGGAGAACCTTGGCTCAATTGTTTGAATTAAAATGATGCCTGCACTCATGTACTTCATTCTGTAAGCACTATAAAGTTCAACTTCTTTCTCTTCCTCTTTGAACCAGACCTTTATAATACCTTGTTTTAGTGAGATGCAATGTAGAGCTCAGTTCTACGTTTTGTTTGTTTCGACAAACTCAAGCATGTTGAGTTCTCACTTGTTAACTTTATCAAACTTGATTTATTGGACTAATACGGTAATATCTGTACTTCCTAGCTATTATACCTTTATCCATGTGGCTTACTTTCAAAATATCATCATTAACCTAGAATGATGGTCGTTTAGTTGAAAAGTCTTTCAGTTTCTCCCAAAACCTTTTGTGGTGTGATCCAATTTCTAGTTGCAAATAACTCTAATTATTTCTCGTTTTTAACAGGGTGTTACACCTTCTGATTGAAGGAACTTCTTTTTATAGAAGTAATTCATATGTATGCTGAATCTCAAATCTTTTGTTTGTCCAAAAACACCTTTTGCAGTCTTCTTTTGAAAGAACTCATAATAATTGCTATTCTTGGACTTTTCTTGGAAGATCGATGTGTGTGGAAGAAGATAACCCAAGGGGTCAAGAGTCATGCTTTAACTTTTACCCTGCTGAAAACAAAGAACAAAGAATGCTTTATGAAGGAAAATTTCTATTCAATGGAAGTTTCTGCCCAAGAAAAACAGTATCAAAGACCCAGCAAGAGTATGAGAAAGTCTAGGCATCAACAAATGCATCTGCATCATTTTGTTTGCTATGCTGAAATTGGAGAATTATGAGAGTAAAAATTTCATCAATTATCTGGCGATAAGAGTGCGAAGCTCTCTACTTGACGTGTGTAACCATTGACTCAAGTAAAGCAGGTTCTTCACTCCAACCTCAAGATATATGGCCAGCCATATGTTAATATTCCCACGAAGGTGCCAAGCTTGTCTAAAATACCTTTCTGATAGGCATTTTGCCAGTGCTAAACTAGTCCAACATTAACTTCCTCATCTTCTAAACAATTTATAGGAAGGTGTGCTCTGCAAACTGTTGTAGGTTGAGAAAATGGTTTTTGAGCGGTATTCAAATACAACATTCATCATCTAGAGGAGGGCATTGCCCGAATCCCTACATCCCTACTTTGAGTCTCAGCTTTCTCAGTCTTTAGTACCAGTGCCGTTATTGTACTATAAGAACTGCTGGTTATGCTTCTTTCAGAATTATTCCTGCTATCTTTCTCCTGGTTTGACTGATAACTATTCAAATCTCAGAGTTTGTGAGATCTGTGGATCGACTGCACGTAATGTGACTGGTGCTAATGAGGCTGAGTTGACGGAGCAGTGGAACGAGGCAAGTGACGCTGTCACCACCACAGCAATGACTGCTCCACCGCCTGTGCAAGCTACGGAGACAAGGAACTTCTGGCAGGGCCACCGCTTTCTGAACTTTCTCCTTGCTTGTATGGTTTTCGCTTTTGTTATCTCTTGGCTATTCCACTTCAACATACCCTCATAATTGGGGACAAATGACATGATTCCGGTATGATGGTGAAGAAGAAGGTACACACTCCACCACTTGCAGCATTCACTCAGTTACATTCCTAGTATGTACTGTCGAATTTGCTATATAATCTGGAGCGAGCTATCTTCAGTCGCCGTGATAATATATACCCACCTATGTCTCATGTTCAACCGACTTCCATGTAAAGCGAGTTCTATTATTGACGCTTTGATATGCATGAACGAAACGTGTTATATTCTTTGTAGTTCTATGTGATTTTAGCCCGTTAAATATCCTGATGTTTCTCCGTTTTTAGTTTTCTCTCTGCTCACAGAAATTCTACTTATTTAGAACTCCATAACAAAACAAAAAAAAAACAGTATATCGTCATTGCTTAAATCGAAATGGGAAGGTGTTTGGCCTGAGTGAATTTTCTCTCACTCTTATCTGTGTCTGATTGACAGTTTCGAAAATTCAGTTGATTGCTTCCCATGCTTATTGTTGCTTGAGAGCGAGGCCCTTGAGCCGTAGATTCAGTGAATTGAGAATGCAGCAAGTACCATAGATGGCCATGATTCAGACTGATGTTGGTCTTCTGCTCCATTTCCTACATGAGCACAGTTACTGTCTCGGGAAAATCCCGAGATGTCTGGAGTTGATGTTTGATGCATAATTGTAAATGAATTCAACAGCAGGTCCATCCATACATTGTTAAACATCTCTCATCCTTCGGTCGATGATGTTTGCTTATTCATCACTGCTTTTTTAAGTAGCATTCGGGTTCTGTTCGGTCGAATGCTCTTCCTCATCGCAGTGCCGGTGGCAATACGATCTCGAGTCATTCTATGAGTTTCACAGAAAAGAGGGTCACAATATCTCATTACGCGGTCATGTCGCTGCTCGAGAGTACATTTGATTGCAGTATTGTCTTAGAGTTAGGACATGTTGTTCCTTCTGTATATCCTGTTGTTGTGCATTATTTGCTGCATCAAGGCCTGCTTGTCATCCTGACATACCTGTGGTGTGGCCTATGTCATAGCATTGAGCCTTGATGCTCTCTACTTGCGTTAACGGGACATGATTGAGTCTATTCTCTCTTCCCCCGGCGAACGCTTTCGTCGAACATACGTAGAGTTCGCAACCGCTTATAAACATAGGCGATGGTAATGTTTTCAAAATATGTGGGGGTCGATTTTGTTTTTCCGTGGGTAACTTTCTAAGCATGTCGGTCGTTCAATGCAAGGTAACTTCTGGTCTTGAGATGACTCGGAATCAAACTTCCAAAGCACACAGGGGATTTCATTATCTATGTATATAATTATTTTTAGGGATAATGATACAAATAATTCATGAATTTTGGTCCAGTGTGTAATACGATTCCTCAATTTTTAATTTGTTCAATATGGTCCTTGAACCTTAGCTCGATGTTTAATGTGATCCTTGAACTCTTGATTTATTCAATGTCCTCCCTAAACTTTTAGTACATGTTCAAACTAGTCCTTGGACGATGTGAAAATGTTCAATGACGGTCTCGAACTTAAATTAATGGAATGAAACATTTTCATATAGTCCAGAGATTAATTTAAATATGTACCAAAAGTTTAGAGATTACATTGAATAAATTAAAAGTTCAGAGATTATATTAAAAAAATTAAAAGTTCATGAAATAAATTGCACATTGAGCTAAAATTTAATAACAATTTATGTCATTTTCGGTGAATTCATTTCGTAACTTTTGTTGATTGGCCACGGTGGGTCGTAGAGTGATATACTAAAATGGAATGACATACGAAAAAAGTTACATTTTTTTTTTTTACCAGGAAGGGCGAAAATAAAAAAGAAAAGAAAAGAAAATTCTTGTTTTGGCATTACTCGCTTTATTAATATCCTGCGCGATGCACGGACGTGCATAGCTCGTGGGGCATCTAAACTTGTGTCGCATAGCATCGGACAATTTTTTAGCCAAAAAAAAAAAATAGCATCTGATAATTCAATTTTTTATTGGGTTAATACCACGAAAAACCCTAAACTGGTACACTTGTGACACATTTACCCCAAACTATTTTTTTGACCATAAAAAACCCCAAACTGGTACACCTGTGACAATTTTACCCCAAACATACCACAAAAAACCCTAAACTGATACACATGTGACAATTTTACCCCGAACTAATTTTTAATATTATTTTTTATTTTTTTAAATTTTTTTGAATTTTTTCTTTTTTCTTTTCTTTTCTTTTCTTTTCTTTTTTTTTCCTTCACCTGCAACCTCTGGCCGGTAGCCAGTCCGGCGACCGACCAAAGGCGAAAGCCGGCGAGGGCCGCCCTCACCGGCGTCGGGCGAGGGCCGCCCTCGCCGGTATCCGGCGAGGGCGACCCTCGCTGGTATCAGGCTAGGGCGACCCTCGCTTGCGTCGAGCGAGGGCAGCCCTCGCCCGACGCCGGCGAGAGTCGCCCTTGCCGGATCCGGCGAGGATAGCCCTCGCTCGACACCGGCGAGGGCGGCCCTCGCCCGACACCGGCGAGGGCGGCCCTCGCCCAACACCGGCGAGGGCGGCCCTCGCTGGCTTCCGCCTCTAGCCGGTCGCCGGACCGGCGACCGGCCAGAGTTTGAAGATGAAAAAAAAAAGAAAAGAAAAGAATAAAGAATAAATAAAAATTCGAAAAAAAAAAATAATATTAAAATTTTAATTCAGGGTAAAATTGTCACATATGTACCAGTTTGGGGTTTTTGGTGGTCAAAAAAATAGTTCCGGGTAAAATTGTCACAGGTGTACCAGTTTGGGGTTTTTTATGGTCAAAAAAATAGTTTTGGGTAAATGTGTCACAAGTGTACCAGTTTAGGGTTTTTCGTGGTATTAACCCTTTTTTATTTTGTCATAATCTGATAATTCAATTTATGTGTTAACACTTATTGTGATGAAATGAATGGATCGGTTCATTAAATTAACCTTTTTTTTTCCATATGCCTTTTAACGTGTTGTTGTCTCAACTTTTCAGATGAAGTAGAAATATTTTATTTTTTTGGTAAGAGGAAATTTTTTTTTTATAAGTGGCCATCGGTACACTAAATAATACCATGTGAAGCATTATGGGACACACGGACCAAACTATTATGTATTTGAAGAGTTTGATATATCAATTACTAAACCTATTTTATTTTTATTATAAAAATTAGGGTTAATATTACCAAAAACCCCAAACTGGTATATCAGTGACAAATTTACATCAGACTAATTTTTTTACCATCAAAAATCATAAAACTGATATACTTGCAATAAATTTACTGTCCATTAAATTAGATTAATACCACGAAAAATCATAAATTGATAAATGCGTGACAAACAAAGGGGTAAAACCCTAAACTGGTACAACCATCAATTGTCACGTGTCATTGAACTGAAAAATTTGACTGTAAAATTTAACGGAAACTAACGAAGGGTAAATTTATCACAAGTGTACCAGTTTGGGGTTTTTGGTAATCAAAAAATTAGTTTGGGATAAATTTGTCCTAAGTGTATCAGTTTGGGATTTTTTTATAGTATTAACCCTAAAAATTAAATAAAAAATCATTCTCAACTTTTCTCTAGTATATACTCTACAATGGGGTCTGAAATCTTACACTTTTTACTCTCAGATTTCGAAAAGAAAAACATACAGTTTGCATTCTCATCTCCATAACATTTTAGTTCCTCAATGATATAAAATGTATGTGTTTTTTTTTAATTTCTGGTCAAAATATTATGTTTTAGAAATAGGGATACAAAAAATAGGTGTTAAATTTGAAGATGTAAAGCGTAAATTAAATAAGAAATCCCAAGATCTTGTTTTTACTCTTATTTTTAAGTCATCGAAAATGCATTTCAAGGGTTTAAATCCTGGGAGTTAAATTTCGAACCGTGCCTATAAAATTTCTTAGATAAATAAGGAAGCCGATTTCCAAGCTATCTTTTGTATTTCCATTTAATTTTTTGGGCGGGAAAGAAACTTAAAAATTTAAAATTAGTTTCTTTTTTTATATGGCCAAAAATAAAATAAAATTGGATACTTTCATACTATAACTCCATTCTGCACATGTAGGTAAATTTATCTTATAATTCTTTTTTTTTATTTGGTGATTTGGATATGATCGATTACTAAAGTCTTTGCACATGACGCTCATCGAGAACATGACCATAGTCACATGTCACATGTATCTCTTTGCAAGCTGCAACTAAAGGACATGGAATTGGACATTGAATTTCAGTTGGGAATTCATGTTGTCTTCCTCTATTATTGGGGATTATTGTACAAAAAAAAAAAACCTAAACATATTGTACATCGGTCAATTCAATCTTAATTTTTTCAATTCGGCTAATTTAGTCCTAAATCTTTTGACGATTTGCAAATATAGTCATTCTAGCCATAATCGATGACATTGGACACTGGCTATCTTACATGGTACAACCAACGCTAAACAGCTAGCACCGACGTTGCTTATTTTTGCAATTTTGTTAAAATTTTCTGATTTTTTTTCTTCTTTTCCTTTTCTCTTCCTTTTATCTTCTTTCCTTTTTTATTTTTTTTTTCTTTTTTCCTATCTCCCTCCATCGGTCCAGGGCCTTAGTGTCCACGTTAGCTCCAGCTGTGCTATACGTAATACAGTTGGCATTCACGTCGGCAATTTCCAATCAAAATTGGCTAGAATGACTATATTAGCGAATCGTCAAAATGATTATGACTAAATTGGTTGAATTGACCATCGTATAATATATTCATGACTTTTTGTATAATTTTCTCCCATCGTTGCTTTTCCATGACCCCAAGTCAAAATCACCCTTCCAAGTTGATCAGCCTTACGTTTTACAACACAGATTTATCTTAAGGCTCAAGTTGCCATTTGAAGATTGTATAAATTAATGGTGAATGGCTATCATATGACCTTGGGACTCAATCTTGCGTGCCTACAAGTGTTGCTTCGAATGGTCAGCAACAACATCCGTCGAAGTAATCTCTTGATTGAACGAAAATCCAGGTCATTTGACATCAGCTCCTCCATGATATTACCTCGTTTGAATTTTTTTTATATGAAAATTAAAGTATGGAATGGCCATACCTTAATTAGCAAAAAAATAAATTAGAATGAATGTCCAATACAAAAGCTTCTAGTCAGAAAATATATGGTGTCGGGGTTTGCGTATATGGTGGTGTCGCGATTTGTTTTTGGTAATCGTTTCGTACTAAGTGGTAGGTGATTGGGTTGAGTGTACTAAGTGGTAGGTGATCGGGCTGAGCCATGTAGGTGTCATGTACT